CCAAAGTGAGAGGAATAAAGATGAGTCTCCAGTCCTGTGCTTAGAACAACCACTGTCAAGGAACCAGTGATTGTTCCCCCTCACTTGGCGCTGTTCCTGAATCACGGGTTAGTCCGTGGAACCCAGACTTGCTTGGGTTCCATTTTGTATTTGTTTGAGGATGGATATCGAACATAGTCAAAACATCTTTCTAAGGTCTTTTGTCGAGAGTGACATTGATACCGAAGATGCCCGATTTTGCCACAATGCATGCAAACTCGGTTGTCATAGGTATCAACGTATTTAGGTTTCCACTTACCATAAAAGCCTCTTGTTTTCTTATGAAAAGTTCGGTTTGGCGTTTGTCCATAACCGTTTTTGTGCCTCTGAACCAGTCTATCGAACCAGTTTGGTCCAGTTCTAGGTGGTTGTTGATATGGTCTAGAACTGGGTTGTCCTCTGGTTCTATTTCCATTAAAGGATCGGTTCTGAAAATCAGGTTTTTTATTAGGTTGAGTGTTCCTTGGAATATAACCGAGACCAGCAGTCTCGTTTTCCTTCTTATTGTGCCGAGGGGGACCTGTTCCAGAATAAGGTCTAGACCTGGTTTTGTTCGTAGCACTATATGCTTGGTATTCCGGTCTATTTTTAAAATCTGTACACTCGGCAACAAGACGATGAAGATGATCAATCAAAGTACCAACGCTCGGAATTTTTGAGAGAAGTTTTTCATCATGATTAACTTGTTTGTTCATACTATCGAGCTTAAGAGAGCAAATGATTTGATCTTGTTCTAAAACCACTTCACTGTACTTAAGCCTTTCATCTATTAACTCTCCCACTTTTGTTTCAAGCCTTATCTTGGCTCTCGTGGCTTCCTCGAGTTTAGACTCAAGCTCAGTGATTTGTGATTTAAGATGATCATTTTCAGAAAGGTTTTGATTAAGCTCAATAGTCAATCTTTTGAAAATTTTCCGGGCTTTGGTTTTGGATAGAGAGTCAAACTTAGATAGAAAATTTTCAAAGTTTACCTCGAAGCTCTCTTGGTCGGATTCCTCGTCGGAGTGTGCCATAAGACATAGACCTGTATGGTTAGAGTTCTTATCACTCTCCTCTTCTTCGTCATCGGATGAGTCTCCCCATGCTGCCATCATTGCCCTTTTGAGATCTCTTTTGAACCCTTTGTCTTTGCTGGACCTCCGGTTAGAACTGGACTTGTTCTTGTCGTAGGTCCGGTCATTTTTCTTTTGTGAACAGTCTTTAGCCCTGTGCTCAAGGGAACCACAAACAAAACAGCCTTGGTTATTAAAAGATTGAAAGTTATTTTTACCTTGTTTGTTCCGGTTGTTCTTGAACCGTCGGTACATCTTCCCGAATTGTCTAGCAAATATGCTCATCTCATCTTCCGATTCACTTTCGGATTCTTCCTCCTCTTCTCGAGCTTTTAGAGCAATTCCTCTCTCTCGCCTTACAGTCTCAGCGTCTTGCTCTTCTTGAAGCCCTAACTCATATGTCAAGAGTGAACCGGTCAAGTCTTCAAGAGTCATGGTGGATAGGTCCTTTGCTTCCTCAATAGCCGTGGTCTTAGGCTTCCATACCGAGGGCAAGCTTCTCAAAATTTTTCTCACTTGATCTTCCACAGTAATTTCCTTTCCAAGGGCTGAAAGCTCATTGATGATATTAGTAAAACGTGTAATCATATCCTTAATTGACTCTCCAGGCTTCATTACGAATAATTCGTAATTACGCATAAATATGTCAATTTTAGATTTTTTTACACGTGAGGTACCTTCATGAGTAACCTCGAGCAAATCCCACATTTGTTTGGCAGACTTGCATCCTAGAACCCGGTTGTGTTCGGCAGGACCAAGTCCACAAATCAAATATTTTAGTGCTTGGGCATTATGCTCGAGTTTTTGATAATCATCAGTAGTAAATTCAGATTTAGGTTTAGGAACAACATTACCTTCGCCGTTTAGCTTTGTGATGACATTGTCGCCACCTTCTATCACATTCCATACCTGATAATTATCGGCTTTGATAAAGTTCTCCATCCGACTCTTCCAGAACTGATAGTATTTCCCATTGAACAATGGTGGTCGTTGAGTCGAGTAACCTTCTTCCAATCGGTCAACCGTATTCATTTTGCCGGATCTCTTCCCAAGGTATTAACCTCTATGTGGTGAAGACCGGCTCTGATACCAATTGATGAAAACGGTTAGCAACACAAGAGGGGGGGTGAATTGTGTGTGTGGAACCGTGGCAGTTTTTCGCCCAGTTCTAGTGCGGGGTGAAGGGTATTGCGAAATAGTAAAGTGCACAAGGATTTAACGAGGAAAAATCCCTTGGCTCAAAGGGATTAAAAAACCTCGACCTCCCTCGGAGGAATTTTAACAACTTCACTGAAAAGCCTTTGAATGATTACAAGGGAAACTCTCCTAGTCTACCCTTGAGCCACCCCAACTCTATCCTCTCTAGGAAGAGTTACGCTTCTCTACCTTGCGGGTAGAGAGCCTCTCAGCTTTACAACAAAGCTCTCACAACACACGTTACCCAACCCGAGGAAGCTACACTTAGCTAATCCTCAATAACCCAATTACAATATAGGAAGAGAATAAGAACTCTGTCTAGAACTCCGGGAGCAGTTTCAGGTGCCTTGAACTTTGTATTTCTCTCGAGTATCTCTCTTGATATTTTCTCGATCAAGCACCCCCTGCTTCTTCTTCTTGATCTCGATTATATAGTCTACTAGGAATGGATCCGTTGAGACACTTCTTTCCTTGAATGGTTGAGGAACTTGCCTTGAAATTATTCAAAATGCTTTCCTTTTATTTAAGGATCTTCTAGCTCTTAATTATGATGGTCCTTGGTCAACCATATATATGGGAGCAGGAGGATACGTGCATACCATGAGCAAGTCAAAAAGGTATAGAGCATATTATGTGATCAACCATTTAGTAATAATTCCACAAAGATATATATCAATACATATCAAGGGAAGTTATTTATTACTTAAACTATGCAAGCATGCAACGGATCATATTTCAAATAATATGCAGGAGAATATTTGTTAAATAGGTATGCACAATCAACTAGCTAATCAATTAAGGATTCTTTCCATAAAATAATAAGCTATAATAATAAATCATGCATGAAAATATATTTTTGCTTAAAATAATATTCTTGACAAAGTATAAGCACTCATATAAGGAAAGCACATATTAATTAAATCATACACCATGTAAATCAACCGTTCACACAGAATACAATTAAGAATAATTTTGTCTTCCGTTCCGTATGGAACTGAGAGCGGTTCCGTCCGCTGTTCCACCTGCATAGTTAGTCATTAATAAAACTACATACTCAACAGATTCTTTCCTTTGAGATCGGTCTTCTTAGATGGGCAAGATCAGGACTTGATGTACTATCTTTAATAGCTCGGATCTCCATATATATTTCTGTCCTCTTGCATGGAAATCATTCAAAAATATTTCCTTATAGGTATTAAAAGATATTCTTTTTATTTGATTGAAGGAAATCATTTTTCTTAAGGAAACATTCCTTGTGAGAAGATATGCACGAAAATCCTTTTTGAATTTTGAATAACAACAATTATTTTGGAAACTTGCTTTGTAGAAATATCTCTTAATTAATGCCTTTGATTTAAATAACTTTCCTTTAAAGAAAAAATCCTTTCTTTGTATGATCATTGATTATTTTCTTGCTTAAAAGGTTCTCTTTAATTTAGCAAGATAGATCCGAAATTAAATGGAGAGAAAAGATATTTTAAGCAAGAGAGGCTTGTTCCAGAGCACGACTTAAACTCTTTTCATGTAGTCACTTACAACCAAAAGTAACACTAGTCGTTTGTCATCAACAAAACAATACGTTCCAACAAGAGAGGCTCTCAACTGGGCAAAGGAACAACAGCAGCCTTTTCTTGATGTTGAGTCAGATTCATTGTAGGCTATCTTGGAGATTTTAAATGGTTCTAGTTGTTCGTATACAGGTCTTTTAGCGGAAGATATTAAGGCTATTGGTATGCATTTCGAGAGCATATCCTTTTCTTACACGAGGCGTTCTGCGAACAGAGTCATTCATGCTTTAGCTAGGGTGGCATGTTCCTTGTCTAATCGCTGAATTTGGCATTTTGTTCCTCCTGATTGTATTACTCTTGAACTTCAACATGATTTGATTAATAATAGTTAAAGCATTATTTTTCAAAAAAAAATCATCAACTCCCTGTTCCACTAGTTTTGTGCTCATCGCATATGTTTTGCATTTATTCCTAAATCAATTAACTAGAAATAAAAGCTTGGTTGCCAGCAAAACGTCCGGTCCACCGCCCACACGTCACCCTCTCACACCTCTTGGATCTGGCCACCATTCTCCACGCGCGAACGGGGAGAAGACGAAGATGGAATCCGTCTGGAGAAGGTCGAGGAGGAGGAGGAGGAGGAGGAGGTGGAGGAGGAGGAGGAGGAGGAGGAGGAGGAGGAGGAGGAGGAGACAATTTCAAATAGTAGAGGCGAACTGAGTTGTAACAGACATGGGGTGTGATGGAAGAATGGCGGTGTGGGACGGAGAGGTAGGGCGGAGACGAGGACGGCGAGGCAGAGTGGTGTCGTGGTGGGCTGGATATCGATGCGGAATTGTCCGATGTTCAAGAGAGATGTGACGAAGGGGAGATGTTGAGTGTTGGATCGGGTTTATTAGGTCAGGGATATTTAAGTCAATTGATGTATCCTTTAGTTAGTTTTTTGTACAAATGAATTTTCAAAAATGATGTTTGTACCCGCTCTTATACCCACTTTTGTACCCACATATGTTTGTGAAGTGTTTTTTTCTGTGAATCGGGTTCACAGACAAAAAAAACACTTCACAAACATGGTGGGTACGTATAAGAATGGGTACATCAAGCATGATTGATGAATTTTAGTCCTGTTTTTGTCTAATAAAGAGCTGGAGGTCATCTTTTAGTCATAAAAATCTATTAGAATGTAAAAAGAGAGAACTGCACATATTTTTCAAAGCATTTTTATTTGTAGTGCTTCCGTTTTCACGATTTCATACAAAAACACTAGGGATAAACTGTTAGTTATCAAACAATAAGGATCGACATCTTCACTAAATGAAAACGTCATAAAATATCAAACCAGTGTTTTTTTGACTGAAATGCCACTTTCCAAATACACGCTTCACAATTTTTGGAACAATGCAACTCCATATGATTCAAAGTTAAAGGTGGTGGCAATAGACATCATTGGAATAGTTCTACGAGCAGAAATAATTAATTTCTGTATTGTAACTATTCCAAATGGCTATGTTACCAGTTCGCCTGCCTGCATCAAAGCACATTATCGGCCCTGCAACTTTCACCATTTATTCCTTCCAAAAGTGCAAAGCGCATGTCTTCAGATGGCCTCCAGTGCCTCTTCCTTTGGTTAATGAACCAGTTGTTTATCTGCTTTTGGTCCAACCCTGTCATCTCTGACAACTTGTTCTTCTCCTCTTCCTACATTAACACGGTTTAGAATGTATTTTTACGGAAAAAATCAGTTTTTACCAACCAATACAACGCGTAGTATAAGTATGATGTTAGATAAAACTCTGGGTTATGTTGAAGTATTTATCCTACACCGGAAAGCTTTAGAACAATAAAACACTATATAAGATTTTGGATTACTCCTCCTATCAGGTTGACCTTTTAGGATGGAACCCCGGGTCTTAACATGGTATCAGAGCCAAGTTCGGTTGTGGTTTGAAAACTTGTTTAGCACCCATGATTAAGGGTAGCTTGTTAAGGGTCTGTTTGGCCCATTTATACACCCCGATATTGTTCAGCCCGGTTCGGGCTGAGGGGGCGTGTTGAAGTATTTATCTCACACCGGAAAGCTTTAGAACAATAAAACACTATATAAGACTTTGGATTACTCCTCCTATCAGGTTGACCTTTTAGGATGGAACCCCGGGTCTTAACAGGTTACGTTATACGATGGTAACTTATAAGACATTTTTAGCAATTTCACAGTATTTTTATACTCCGTATGTAGCAATATCTACTCTTCAGAAAACGTAACTAGTGATAATATATACTCTGTTCTTTAGAAAATACTTAAGCAGCGGTAGGGGCGGATCAGGAATTTGAATTAGACTCGATTGAAGAGTAATTATACTAGACTTAAACATTAGAAAGATGGACTAAATATGAAAAATGAAAAAATGTACACTACAAAAATTGAAGAAAAAAATAAGATGTTATGGGCTTCAACCCATTATAGCATATATGCAGTAGATCCACCCCTGCACAATAATTGTTACATGAATATATGCGGGCACCTTGCATTCATTTAACAGATTAGAGAAATTTCCCGAAAAGATGTAAACAGATTTTGAAATTCCAAAATAGTAATCATATGCTACTCTTCTCAAAATACGAGTAACATGATAGTATCTATTGTTATCTTTTAGTCAATATTGTGAAATAGTTGAAGTATTAAGCATTTGACATTACAATATTTATTACGTAGTATCATTCATGACAATATTGTTTAATCAGGGCAGTAACGACTCTATTTCGGGAAGAAAAACATATCAGTCATATTTTGGAATTCAAAATTTTGTTTATTCCTATTTAGAGTAGTTTCCCTTCATTTAACCCACTAAAAACATATACAACATACAAGGCAATAAACTAGCACATTTTTCCTAAAATTTTACTAATAAAAAATATATGAACAAAAATGTGAGTTTTGTAAGGTTTATAGTCACCAATCACCATGATGCAATATTTGAATACAATTATGGTAACTAAAAGTTACTAGAGTCATATTTTTTCCATTATTTTTAATTTGGTTATATATTTAGAATTATTTCCTTCTATTTAGGGTAAAAAATATGGCACGTATTTTAGAATTGAGAATTCTAAAACATTTTTAAAAAAATCTCGTAAATGTATAATTAGAGTGGATTGAGATATAATAGCTTAAATTAATTACCGTAGGGTAGGGCCACCTATAGTGGGAGGTCCACCAGTGGAGCAGAGCAACCCTGGCATCTTTAGGGAGCTTTCCTTTCTTCCTCTTCTTCAAGAAATCCTTCCTCAAACTGCTAAGGTATCCACTGTACTTCCTCATCAGCGTTTCCTTAATCTGCTGATCTCCCTCCCCTTTATTCAGAGACGACGACCAAAGCTCCATTTCAGTCTCCCCCACTTCCGCTTCTCCACAACTTATTACCTCTTCTTCTGACGTCCCGCCTCCTTCATCTGACAATCATGACCATTGTGTTTCTCAAATATTTATGTGGAATTAAATAAAAGTGAGTTGTGTGTGGTAATTAAATTATATTCAAATAGGAATGTAACAAATATTTAATTTGCTACAAGCATAGTATAGTAGGAATGTAGGATGAATTCTTAGTTGATACTTCCTACTGACTATATTCTACCATTATACTTGGTGCACATTATTCTCTTTAAAGTTTCATACATCAAATTAGAATATAATTATAAATTCTTATCTTAATTAAGTGAATAAAATGAAATTATTTGACAAAAAAATAATTTTACAAATTAATTTGAGACAGAAGTAATACTTATATTAATGCAAAAAAACAATTTTACCAATCAATTTAATATAATTTAATACTCCCTCCGTCTCGCAATTAAGTTCACAGTTTGACTTCACACCGATTAACAAAATAAATTTGACTTTACTATGGAGTGCACTGTTTTGCACTGTTTAAACAATGTTTCGCACTGTTTGACACTGTTTGGTACTGTTTTGATGTAGATAATTTGTCAAATAAGGAAAGTTTTGAAGTGTGAAGTTAATTGTGGGACTGCCCAAAGAAAAAGTGAGAAGTTGTTTACGGGATGGAGGGAGTAATATTCATGCAAAACAACCTAGAATATGACATGATCCACGGCTCGACAAGGTCGTCCGATGGTATAAGTTCACTTATCATTAAACCCGAAACTTCGTGCAATAATATACTACAGTAGAATAAAATCACCTCGCCTAAAAGTCAAACTGGGATTTAATACTTATTGACAATGACATGCTTCATTTTACTTTGTCACAAGTTGTTTAGTAAAGTCAAATGAACATGTATGTATATATATGCATTACACTACAAATTAATTAACAGGCGGTCATTAAATCTACATACATTTCAATAAATGTTTATTATATACTTACTACCTTCAATTCATTCTTCAATAGTTGGAACAATTTGAATATGACAGTATATATTCAGATACTCTACAATGATGGCATTTCATTTATTATTTTACTAAAAATATTGCTCTTGTATAAAATTTGGCTTGGTCTAATTTCAGATTATGAATTAAACATTGAAATGATCCAAATTGGGCATTCACAAATTTAAATGTCAAACTTATGCAATTAAACAAGAAAACGAAAGTAAAAAATATGTTGAGATAGAATATATTGATAAACTTTAACCAAAAAAACATAGTGAATATTAATCATTATGAAACCCTCCCAACTAAATAAACAATGCAAACCACTGCGGATTTGATAAGTTGAATCTTTCTTTGAACGTTGGGCTCAATCCATAGATATAGAGTGTAATAAGGGATAAGTCTCGAGTTCAAATTATGACAATTGCGATGCAAGGTTACTATATAAAAATAGATAAATCTTTGCAAATAACTATATCAAAACATCACTCTCTATTTTTGTAGTTAAAGTTTAATTTACATCCCTAATTAAATGTTTGATCGGTGCTAGGGTTGTTAGGGACAGAATGTTATCTTTTATTTTTTCCTTTGAATGTTGCTATTAATAATAACAGCATTTGCTGATTTCATGACCAATTGACCATATAAATGGCAGTGTCATGGAGAGAAATTGGTCAGGAAAAACTGTATTGTTCAAACCTTTCATTATGTACACTTTGTGTAGCCGGGGAGTTATGGTGGGCCAATCTGTACTGATTAGGGTTTGTCTGTTGCATTTAGACAAATACTTTAAGGCGTTGGAACTTGGGACCTTTTGATAGCATGCACTCCCGGAACCGGCCAACCCCACCCCGAATATTGTCAGCTTTTTATAATAGAACATGATAAGTTTAGGGGAAAAATATTGGGGACACGTTTTTTAAGTAAACTTTTCCTATATTTATTTATCTTACGGGCTACGGCACACAAGTCATCAGTACATTACAATTTTGTATGTGTAAGAATGACAAGTGTATACCAAAAAGAATGATTATAACACTTCCAAAAAGAATGTCAAAGTTAGAATTTCGTTCTAATTAAAAATGTGGAATATTAGCATATATCAGGTGCTATGGGAAATTCCGTTCTAGAACAATATCACATATTTATCAGTTTCTTAAAACTTGTGATTTAACAAAATTAAAGACTTGGCCTTGATAGAGACGAGCTGTTCTCTTCTTACCTTCTTTCAATCTTTTTTTTAATCATGAGAATATACTTTTTGATCGGGGTTTTTAGTTTATTGGGTATGCTCTTTTTTTAATGTTGTCTAGAGATTTTATATTCAGTGGCAGAGCGCTCTCACCTTTGATTGGGTGTTCTTGTCTATTAATACGATTGATATTGATGTTTGTATAATTTCTCCATCTATTAACCATGAACCTGGTTTTAATTTCTTTGGCATTAATACTGAGGCCAAACGCACATCTCCTAAACAACCGTCTTGCTAGGAGATGGGATCACATTAATTGCTTTCACCGGTGAAAGCAAGATTAATTCTACACTTGACTCCTTACTAGTGATTGGCCTAGTAGAACCATGTCGTTTCGTAATTCCTTTTTGGTGGATTATGAAGTCGAGGTGCATGTATTATTTCTCTTAGCTTCTTGATGGATCGGTGATCTAGATAAAAAGTACTATATGAATACCCTTGAACAAACGAAGAAATTTTTTTAACATTTATCTTTCAATCCCTTGCCTCAAGCCACCGTCTATCTTCTCTCAAGCCCTTGCTCCGCTGCTCAACCAGGACCACGACCCGTCAACCCCTATAGCAGCGCCGCGCCACTGCCCAATTGCAACCCTAGCTTCGCCGTATTTAGCACATGGCACGATCGACCCAAAAAATCCTCATCCTCATCCTCACCTTCTTTTAATTCTTTTAAATATAATTTTTTTCATAATTCAGTATACTCAGTAAATTGTATTTCAACTAGAAATTCATTAGTTTAACAAGATTCAATCCATTTTATCAATTTCAATATTATAAAGGGCCTAAAAACAATTCAAAGAAAAGAAGGAACTTAAAAAAGAGAGGGAGTAATAATTACCACAAGAGTGATAGATGTTGAAGGTGGTGGTGGTGGGTAAGGTATCTTTGCAGAGGCTGTTGAGCTGTGACTCTATGCCACTCAAGAAAGTCTTAGCTTCATCAAAGGGCTTTGACAACTCTTCTTTATATTTGTACATAAAATCACAGTAAGATTCCTTGACACCCAATTAAATAAATCATCATTAAAATAAGAAGAAAAACTGTCTGGCCAAACAAAATAATTAATAAACTTCAAAAAAATCATTGTTTATTACCATGAATTCATCAAGTTCAGGATTTGTAGTGATAATCTCATCGGCTGTGGTAGTGGTGGTAGGGTGAGGGCTGACTTGGCTGATCTCTTCAAGAATTGTAGCCATTTCTGGTGGTGCTGCCACCTTCACATAAGAAGATACATATATTCTCAACATTACTGATGATATATATGAGTAATTTGACCAATACTATAAAAATATTCTTTGTTAAAAGTAGCCTTGTAAATATATAAAATTTATAAATATCATAAAAATATACTATGTACTCGGTATTTGTTAACCAAAAAGGATGGAGTATAACCTAATGACCTCAAAGGTCATTATATATTATTTGTTGTACGGAAATACCCACTAGAATATAATGGTTTTTCCCATGCAAGTGTGGAAATGATACATTTTGGGTTCATAATTCAAAGCATATTCCTCTTATATATACTGCACTTTTCACGGAGTGATAAAACATTTATTCATCTTATTTATGAAATTGGCATGGCATTTGTGATCTAATTTCTTGCATGATTGCCATTTTTTGACCTCTTATTTAGATCCATAATCCAGTACACCATTTTCATCCTCAATTCTCTAGCTATTAAGATTTCAATCTCTTTGTAGCTAGCGCACTATGGGCACATATTTATAGTGGCGGATCCAGGATTGTTTTTATAGGGCGTGCTGATAGAAATGACACGGGTAAGTTCTGGTCTAGTTCAAGTCCTTAAATTAAAGAATCTTATTATGGATCCCGTACACCCGCGAGCTTCGGGTCCAATTCTCATCCTATTATGGATGGTCCTAAATATTACTACCTCCGTCCCGAAAAAAGTTTGTTATATTGACTTTTCTTGAATTAGTTCTGATCCTAGATTTGAATTAGTCCACTCCTACACTGATTTTAGACTGGAATTCTGGTTTTATACATATACCATGTGAAATTAAAAGAATAGAAGAAACAATAGAATTGAGTAAGCACCAGATCAGAAGCATATACTAGTATGTGAGATGGAACTATTAGACATTTGGAATTGATCAATGAGCCAAATGAGGAAGAGATTGACTACCTTTCTGCACTGAATATAAGCTGATACTAAGTTGGGATAAAGAGGATGATTAGCAATCTGTGCCTTTACATCATCTGACACCATCATCTCATCAACCCCTCCTCCACCACCACCACCACCTTGGCCAACCATAAGATGGTGTTGACTTTGAAGATCCTCACCATAGCCGTTGATCATACTACTCCGACGGTGGTGATCATTTCCATCAGATTCAAGACAAAAGCCATTATTGTTGGAGGAGGGAGCATATGAAGTTGAAGTTGATGATGATGGAGCAAGCACTGAGTGAATCCCGTACAGCTCATCCATCATATCTTTCTGTGCACCACCAATAGGGCCAGACCAGGTGATGATATTATGGACCCCCAGAAATACCCACCAAGCCTTAAACCTAATCAAGTCAACTATATATAATACTTACCTTGTTACTAATTACTTTTGCTTTTTTAGGGTTTGGAGCAGTTCTTGAATTTTTTTTCTTTTGGGTAGGAAGGAAGGAAAGAGTGGAGGAAATAGCAGACAACAGTAGGAAATGGATGGACTGGGGACAGAAAGAGTGGGGAGGAGAAGACTCTACTATCATCTGAAGACAGCATGACGTGGGGAGGGAGAGAGTTATTAGGTTAGGCACATACGTAGGCGGCTTCGTTCGGTTCTCATCGCACGTTCTCGCACTGTAATATATTTAGGTGTGGACAATTACGTAGACAGTGATCTCATGTGTACTTTGGCGTTAAATGGTAAAAGTTTCCCCAACTATGGTCTGGTCTCAGAAAGTACATCAAAAGTTTTACGAATCACCAAAAAGAAAAATCAAATTTGATTATGTAAAAATCAAAGCCTGGTATAGTGAAGTAATTACCAAATAACGGGACTTTTTGTTCTGACATTCCTAAAAACGGGAGTTCCCATTAGGTTACCAAAACACGACAGTCGGAATTTCCAATTCCGACTAGATATTAGGTTTAAAAAAAAACCCTCCTCCAGTCGGATTAGGCAGTTCCGACCAGGGAGCCTTCGAAATTTTTTAATCTTTTCCATTATTTTATTTGTCTAACTGCAACCAATTAAAAAACAAAAAAAAATAAAAAATAAATTACCTAGTCGGAATTGTGTAATCCGACTAGGGGTGTGCGAATTTTTTTAAAAAAATGGAATGCCCCTAGTCGGATTACACAATTCCGACTAGGTTTTTTCTTTTTTTTTTTTATTTTATAATTGCTTCGCATTACACAATAAATAGTATGAAAACTTTAAAAAATGGAAATACCCCTAGTCGGATTACACAATTCCGACTAGGTTTTTATATAATTTTTTTTTTTATTTTTTAATTGGCTCGAATAATTGAAGCTTTAATAAGCCATTCAATACCAGCCAAGTACCTCGTCGGAATTGGGGAATCCGACAGTGGTGTGTGACGTGTTTAATAGTGGTCCAAGTATTTTACCATACTACTACCCAAAAAACTCTATAAAACACATTCATTTTTTCTCAAATTTTACACACACTCCGAAAACATTCTTCCTTTCTTCACATACCATTATATACCCACTTATTTCTTTCTTAACATACTATCCCCACATACCATATTTACTCTAACACTTTAATATATTCATTACCTTTTTTGTTTACCACTTTCCTCTCATATTATATTTATAATATATATCATATATAAAAATGTCTAGTGAGGGTAATATTATTCTTATGGTGCATTGGAATGGTTCTACATCTCAAAGAGATGATGAAATAGAGTACTCCATACCTCCTAGAGCTGTACTATTCATTAGTGAAGGAGATGATTATACTACTATACATGAAAATGTTCTCAATCATGTTATCCGTGATGGATTTTCCGAAATTAAATTAATTTACGGAAAATTGCCGAAATATAAGAATTCGGTATATGTTGCTTCTAGATTATGGCCCATTCATGATGAGCGAACATGGCGTCATTTTTTCCGGATCGCCACAAATGAGTATGAGGAGTTGCACATTTACCTGGAAGTTTCAGCGACCCCGCCACAAAATTTGACGTTCCACGAAACTGATGGAGTGGAAGGCCCATCATCAAGTCGGAGGAACAACCGCCAATCGTTTCAGAACCACGAAACTCCTGGTATGTATAGTTCAATTTAATTTTGTAATTTGTAACTGTTTTACTTTAGATTGTTAAATTGGAATTTTAGAGTTAAAAAATTATATAGCTTAAATAAATATGATAGGACAAATTAATAACCTATATTATATTTAAATTAAGTGCATAGCACTTTTGCAACTAATGTGAGAACACGTAATATAAGCTCACTTGTGCAACCCTCTCTTATTTAGGCTATTTGTTTAATTTATACAAATATATGACATATACTTAATTGCACATATTCAAAGTGGTATATACACCCAAATATTCCATATATATATATATATATATATATATATATATATATATATATATATATATATATATATATATAACTTAATTTGCCTTAATTTTTTTTAGGAACGTAGAAGTAGTAGATTTAGTAATTTGTAAATGTATTGAAATTTATTTGTTAAATTTGAATTTTAGGGTTAAATTTAGCTATAAAATACTTGAAAGTTAGAAAGAGTGTAAAATTTAGAATTGGAATTTTAATTTAGTGTATAATGTTATTCTTAATTTTATATGTGTACAAATTTATCGTGTTTATCGTGTTGAATGTGTTTTTAGTGTAATATGCGTCTTTAATGTAAATAATATGGAGTATTATCATGTTGAAACCATTATTGATGTTGGATTTCACAAAATTATATTTTTAATTAATGAAAAAATGGTTTTAAGGTTATTTAATAGATAATCTAACCATATACTCGTATAATATAAAAAAAAATTAAGCCTGTCGGAATGCTCAAATCCGACAGGAGGGTGTTTTTTTAGAAATACTTTGTTATATTATTAAAAACTATATATATTAAATTTTATAAAATACATTTTATTGTAAAAAAAATTAGTGTCCACAAAAATTTTATTTTGTTTTAGAAGTATTTCTTTTTTTAATTTTGAACTCATTGATTTAGAGAAAACTTCCATTTTATAATATAACTCGTTTAAACAAAATCTAACACATTTACTGTTATGAATTCATTCAGATTCGGGTGAAGAGTCTGACGACCCAGACTATGAACAAGGTTTTTGTAGTGATGTCGATACAACCACGAGGGATGGTAATGACGAGACAGTAGACCCCACCTGGGCCAATGTAGAGCTAGAAGAACCATATGTGCTTGATTCTGAGCCTCAAAGGATCGAAGTCGGCGCAATTTACCCTTCATTTGATGCACTGAAAGAAGCGGTGGCGAGAGAAAACATTCGTCAATTTCGTCAATTCCAATCGGTTGACAAAAGGGCACGGTCTTGGAAGGCGGTTTGCATTTGCCCGACTGTTTGCACTTGGCATATCCAAGCAGCAGAAGGTATGCATTCCACAAAATGGAAAGTTAAAAAATATCAACCCCATCACAGTTGCACGGAGGATCCTGTCACATCTCGGGATGATAAGATCCTAACGGCCAAACTCATAGCGAGTGAAATCGCTCCGAAAGTTAAAGTTGACCCGGACTACAGCATTAAACTCATAATGTCAGACATATATGAAAAATTTAATATCCGTGTTTCATATAAAAAAGCTTGGAATGGACGGTTGATCGCTCTAGAGCGTAAATTCGGCAATTGGGAGGCCTCGTATAATGAACTTCCTATGTTGTTGGAAGCTATACAGTTTTCAAATCCGGGGACGGTTGTTCATTTGCAATCACAACTACAGGTCGGCGTTCCTGATACGTCTGAATTCCGTCGAGTGTTCTGGTCATTCAAAGCTTCTATTGACGGATTCAGATTTTGCTTACCTGTAGTCTCGGTTGATGGGACTCACTTGTATGGCAAATACAAGGGGGTTCTTCTAGTAGCGGTAGCCATGAACGCTAACCGTGAGATATTTCCTCTTGCATATGCTGTTGTTGAGAGTGAGAATGCTGACAGTTGGTCGTGGTTCTTTAGCTGGATTATGCGTGATGTGGTTGGAAGTCATCGTAGTGTGTGCATTATCTCCGATCGTCATGCAGGAATTGAAAGTGCATTTAGATCCTTGCCAGAGTTGAGATCGCCACAAGTTTCAAAGCGTTATTGCCTCCGTCACATACGGAGTAATTTCATGACCAAGTTCAGAAACGCAGATCTGAAAAAGTTGTGTTGGCAAGCTGGTAGCACTCCCACAGAACAGGAATTTCACGAATGTATGCAACAAATACGAGGCTTAAATGAGAGTGCCTTTTTATATTTGAATGAGATTCCTGTTGAGATGTGGGCCCTGTGCTATGACGATGGGAAGAGATATGGCATTTTGACGACAAACCTTTCAGAAAGTTTTAACAATGTCTTAAAGGGATGTCGCACATTGCCTATCACAGCACTAGTACAAGCCACATTCGATAAAGTTGTCCAACTGTTTGCCGATCGACGAAATGCGGGAATAATGTGGGACCAAGCTGGATTCTTATATCCAAAGAACATATGGAATGCTGTTCTTGAGCGATCCCAGCGTAGGTATCAGACAACTATTGTCCCGCACAATTTCACAACCGGGATTTACTCTGTAGCAATTACTTCGCATGATCCGGTGACAATCGATCTGACAAGGCAGGAATGTGGTTGCGGGTATTGGAAGCAGAATGGGCTGCCATGTGTTCACGCATATGCGGTTTGTCGGTTTTTAAAAATATCCGTAGACGGCCTCATCCCAGCTGTGTATTCGTTAAATGCGTACATCCGGACGTACGCTTCTGATATTATGCCTATTAATAATTACGTGCGAGAAACACAACATACACTTCTCCCGCCCACAAACAACAGATCTGCTCGAGCCGGTAGGCCACAAAGAACTCGATTTCCCAACGAAATGGATTTGCGTGCTACGCGTAGAGAGGATGAGTAATATTGTATTGTATATTTGTAATGAAATTTAAGTTTTGCATCCAATTTGTAATGAAATATTTGTTTCCCTTTTCGGATCTATTACATTGTACGTGACGTTTTTGTTCAGATTAAATTCACATAAACATAATGATGTAAATTTTATCAAATAAAATTTATCTGATGAAATTAAGTAGATAAAATTTAATAAGATAATTTCAATAAGATCAAATCTAATCATAAATATAATCAGAAAAATTTTGTCACATAAAGTTTAATAAGATAAGTGAATAAGATCAAATTTCATCAGATAAATATAATCACATAAATTTTGTGTCGGCAATCTAAAATATTGAATCCGTTCGTTCGAGCTACGCAGATAAAATATAATCTTATTAAATTTTATCAGATAAAATTTAAGTTGTCGGCAACCTAAAATATTCAATACAATTTATTTGTACCGAACTCATCCTATCCGAACACATTTCTTTTAATCTTAATCCTATCCGTTCGTTCCACCTACATCATCTCCTAAACAAACACATTTTATTTCAATCCTAATCCTAACCGTTCTTCACATCTGCACGGATCACGATCGGACGGCCTACATATACTCCTCTAGTCGGAATAGCCAAATCCGACTAGAGTATATCCCATTTTTTTTTTCTTTTTGTGGTCGGAACTACCAATTCCGACAGCTATTTTTCTTTTTTTTTTTTTAATTTTCGGCCTTATAAATAGATTTGTTTGAGATTCATATTTTCATATCTCAATACATAATCATTACTTCATCATTGTCCAATCTATCAAGGTATTTGAAGAAGGAATTGCTCTCCAAATTTCAGCCTATTTTCAGGTTAGTTAATTTTTAATTATATGTGTATAGATGTAGTTAATTTTGTAATTTGTGAATTTGTAGAGTATGATTTAGCTATAAAGTGCTAGAAACTTAGAAAATGTGCTACATTTACAAACAACCTTAAAATTCAATTTAACGAGTGTACAAGTACTTAATTTTGTAATTTGTGAATTTTTAACTTTGAGGTGGAACGATTGTTTTATCTCATTAACTGACAATAGAAGTATAGAACCATTTTTACTAAGTCTTCATTATGATTTTTCAAAAAAAAAATATTCATTTTGAAAGAAAGAAAAAACTACGTCTTCTTTATTAGTTATCATGAATATTTTATTAAAAATAAAATTGACCAAATTGTTGTTATTATGATTACAATAAAAATATAATAGTCATACTTCAAACATAGTTACTGCGTAGTGCATTTTAGTAACGTTAAACACAACAATTTGGCTTAAATTTCGGAATTATTATTGTATTTTAATTTAGAGTTAAATTATAATAGGAAATAATAGAGTTGACATGATTGACAAAATTAGATGGTGAAATTGTATAATTGGAATTTAAAGTGGGCTAATGCATCTTAGAAAGTGTGTTACATTTAGGATTTGGCTTAAATTTCGGAATTATTATTGTATTTTAATTTAGAGTTAAATTTGGGTTTTTGGGGGGTAGAAGTAGTTAATTTTTGTATGTGTAAATTTTTTATTTATATTGTCAAATTGGACTATTAGTGTAAAATTTAAGTAAAAATAATAGTACAAACTTAGAGATGGTGTTACATTTATGAGGTTAGTTAAATTTGGGTTTTAGTAGTGTAGAAGTAGTTAATTTTTTTATGCGTACATTTTTTATTTATATTGTCAAATTGGCCTATTAGTGTAAAATTTAAGAAAAACTATTGGGTACAAACTTAAAAATACTTATTTCAGGAATTTCAAATGGACCAAAACATTCCGTGCCCACCGCCTGTTAACCGTTCACTACTCACGTTGCCACTCCGTGCCCATCGTGCTGACCGTGTATGGTATGAACCCGATTACATAGACTCGTGTTTAAAATGCGTGAATTGCCCTTCAGCTGCATTCCAAGACGAGGAGCGAGATGAAAGGGTAGTAAACACGTTAGCTTATGCTGGGTTCTTGGGGGTAGAGCACATTGCGCGCATGAAGTTAGATCATAGTTTAATAAGTGCTTTGGTGGAGAGATGGAGGCCGGAGACACATACTTTCCATCTTCCATTCGGTGAGGTTGGCATTAGTCTTCAAGACGTGGCGATGATTCTTGGTTTACCCATTCGAGGTATGCCCCTTAGTGGTCCTACCATTAGGGATAAGGCCGAGTGGATGAACCTGTGCACGCAGTCATGTGGTTTCACTCCTGTAGCTTCTGATATCCGCACGAGTGATATCATGATGAGTGCTATTACTCGTCTCCCGATTGTGCCCTATAGTACAGACGAAGAGGTTGAGCAGCACACCAGGAGCCTAATATGGCAATTGCTTGGAGGGTTCTTGTTCCCTGACACGAGTGCGACAAGAATACGATTGTATTTTTTGGAAGTCTTACAGGGTGACTTGGCTTTAACCCGTCGATGGAGTTGGGGATCGGCAGTTCTCGGGCACCTATATCATAACTTGTGTAACGGCGCCAAGTGGGGAACCAAACAAGTTGGCGGCTGTATGCACTTGTTACAGATTTGGGCTTGGTCGAGGATTTCGATGCTTCGTCCCTCGGTACTTCAGGTCATTCAACATGATCATCTTCCATATGGGTGCAGGTATGTTGCCAATTACATCTTAATAATTTAGAATGTTTTATTTAACTTTACATTTTTTAACTTCATATCGCTAATCAACAAATGTAGGTGGATCGTCCCTAAATCTTATAAGGGATCTCCTAGACATTGCATACGCTTGTACCGGGACTCACTAGACCGCATGAGTGAGAGTCAGGTAGCACTCGAAGTTTGTACTTCAATTGTACTATTCAATTTTCAATACACATTATGTTATAGTTCTTAAATTGTAAATTAAACTTTTTACAGTTTGATTTCGTTCCCTACGCGTCCGAGACACTCTCACCTATCATTCTTCATGAAGCTCCGATATGGTCGGCTAGGGTCATGCTCATATTTTGCAATATGGCCGAAATGCATTACCCCGATCGATTTCTTCGGCAGTTCCATATAAGGCAAGACATTCCGGATGCTCCTTTGGCAGGTAGTGATCATCACGGGAATCGCTCCAACATAGCAACCGGTGCCTTGGCGATGTGGGCGAACATACAAGATCACATATATTTTCTCGATTATGATCAACAGATGTTCGTCGAAGCCACTAATAGGTACAAAAAATGGTACAAGAAGTATGGTATGACACGTGTGCAGAACCCTTCTCACATTGTGCCCACGACAGGCTACACCCCGACAGCACACCAGTGGGGTATTGTGGTAAGTATTTTAAAAAAAATCATATTCATTAACATATATCATGTCATAAAGTTTATATGTTACAAAATTTTATGTAGCAACAAGGCATTTACGAGTTGTATCAGCTCAGCATCAACGACGCCAGTAATGACGACATTCAAAAACGAATACGGAAACTGGCCGTGGACGCAGGTGATGAAGACATGATCCACCGGGGCATGTTCCATTATGAAGATGAAGGTGGAAGTCACGAAGAGGATGATGCACATGAACATGAAGGTGGTCGTGAGGAGTCATCATCGCATGGTGTGTCATTTGATCAACCACCACCTCAATTCTCAACGCATCAATCCCTCACATTCAATCAACCACCGCCGTATTATGAATCTTATCAGTTCACTAGGCAACCCGATGATTTTGTTGACTCATTTCTGAGTTCGTCATATTTGTATGGAGACCCAACGGTGCCTTGGAACAGTGGCGGTGGAGACGGAGCAGGGCCGAGCACACAACATTAGCTGTAGTATTATATTTAATGTTATATGTACTCTCTATTCATTAATGAATTACATTGAAAAGTACATTCTTTTTGTTCACTTCCTTTAAAATTACTAAAATTGCCCTCAAAACACCATCATAGTTGTACCTAATTTGACAAATAAATTAAATCAAAATTACACTTAAAATTACAAAAATTGCAATTAAAAAAAAATTCACAATACAAATGCATTACAAAACAATATAAAGCAATCAAATGTTTTATACTACACATACAAAATGTTTAGATTTTAAAAAAACATGTGATTAATATAACTAAACTTTTAAACTTGGAATGGATAAAATTCAAATAAATTATACCAAAAAGTTTTCATTTAACCCTACAATTTCAAACTTTAACATTTTTATAACTACAAATAAAAAAATTAACAATTTTTTTTTTAAAAAATGGGTGGTCGGAATCACCTAATCCGACAGAATTAAAAAAAAAAAAAATATTATTTTGGTCGGAATCATGTAATCCGACAGCATTAAAAAAAAAAAAAAATTAATGTGGTCGGAATCACCTAATCCGACAGGGAGGGGAGGCTGGGTTTTCCGAAACCCTAATTCCTGTCGGAATTGGGTAATCCGACCTACGTTATTTGGTAAAACCTAATTTTTTCCCCGCTTTTTGGAATTGAATACGGGGTATTCCCGCTTTTTGGTAAATCACCCTGGTATAGTAGGTAATAAAAGAATTATTAAATTAAGATGGATGTAGTCACGGGCGGATCCAGGAATTTTAGATGCCCTGGGCTAATAGAAACTATGCTAGGTTTAAATATTAGAGCGATGGGCTAAACGTGAAAAATGAAAATATTTACACAAAAAAATTGATTTTTTTAAGTTGTCCTGGGCTTCAGCCTACCATAGCCCGTGCATAAATCTTCCCCGGCCTGAATGTCGTACTCCGTATTACATTTCAATATATACAGTATAGTGTCATTTGAGGAGGAGGAGGGGTGGATTATCGGCCAAGGTAGGATGAGATGGTGAGGTTATAATTAAGGCCTCACCCTTTTGTGATTTTCGATTAGATCAAAACTGGAAGCTCGAGGGTCGGCTATGCAGCCGATGCTAAAGGGTACGTTGGCGGAGATTAGAAGAGGGTTTTCTAATCTAAAGATAAATGAGGATGGTGAAGGGAAATTTATTGAAGGTGGAAGTGAAAGTTTTGTGGCTAACTGGTCTCCAGAGAAAACATTTAAATGTGTGTATTTATTTACTCACTCTTAAAACTCATATAACATTTATGATAAATATTTTTAATCATTACTAGCTTATTATTATTATTCTAGTATAATATGTATGTCTATATGTATATGCGTTTGTTATATACTACATATAATTTAATTTAATATGTTTGTACATTTTTCATATGTGTATATACTACGTATATGTTTTAAGTATGTATATATGTGTGTGTGTATGCGTTTGTTATATATATGGGTTTTTTACAAGAATATTACTAAAATAAAACATATTTACATAAATATAACTATTCATTACTACAATGTAGTGTTGTGGTAACTAAAGCTCAAAACTTGAACATGAATTACTATAATTTCATTACTACTCTAGTCACTAATCATACTTTTGTAAATCATCTTTATTTTGGTCATACTTATGTAATTATTTCTATATATATTTATAACGGGGGACGGGGCGGGTGTAGCAATTTTCGTCCCCCGCCCCATATTTTAACGGCGTAAAAATATATCACTCATCCCCATCTCCACCCCGCCCCAAGTCCCGGACCATCCTTCCCCCGCGGGGCGGTTCCCCATGGGCCCCTGCCCCCATTCCCATCCTTAGATAGGGCATGTGTTTATGTGTTGGTAGCAGGATTGTCTTTGGGACACCTCGAGCTTATATTGTACTCGTATGCACTTTCGCCAACCACATCATTGAGTAATGAAAGTGAAGAATTTTTTCCTTTTTTTAATTGAACCGGCTTAAGTTCAAGATTAGACCAAATTAAATTAAATCAGGAGTATAAGGCATATATAATTAGATCAGAATAGACATCGTCCACTATAAAGTACGCATAGAACATGCATCTAATAAATCGGACTTGATCGATCAGACCAATTCAGTTTAGATTAAACCAAACTGGACTTAACAGACCAGACCAGCCCAGATTAGATTAGACTAAATCAAACTTAAACAGACCACGTCATACCAAACCATAAATCTTGAATACCCAATCTGTTTTTTTTTTAAGTATGTCATTTATCATTCTAAAGAAAACAAGTACGTACGTAATATAATTTAACAGAATCTCATTTAGAAAGGTTAATTAGTTTACACTTTGTGTGTGGTAAAATATACATAAAAGGATACTTCCGTCCCAAAATACTTACCCAAATTCAAAACTTTGACCAATTATACACATTTATTGAAAATTAAATTAGTAATATTTTGTTTTGTGAAAATCATTTATTTATTACTAAATACGGAGTAGGTGTTTTTTTAGAATGAGTATGTATTTTTATTAAATAAAGATAAAGATGTTACTTATTTTAAAAATTATAAGGTGAAAACGAAGATATATAATGATTTTTTATGACAATAAAGTTTTTGTTACGTTGGATCCTCTTTATTTTATTATTAAAATAATAATAATAATATTATTATTATTATTATTACTCGTATTAGATTGCTAAAACCAATTTATAACACCAATACTCCTCGCATCTACTTCATCTGATTTCTATAAACATGTCACATATAATTAATTTCATTCCAGGACCAAATCTAACCAGAGTATACACATCACTCAGGCTTGACTACATTTTGAATGGTATTAATTATATTAAATTAATTAATTCAAATCCAATTGTAAAGCTACAGTATTGAAATGAAACAGTAGATTTTTTATTAATTTTAAAAATGTTTTGTTTATAATTTTCTCAAGTTGATATTTTGTTAATTAATACTCCCTCCGTCCCAGGGAGAAGTTCCCGGGTTGACTTTCACACATATTAAGGAAATAAAGTTACTGAGGGGTAAATTTTACTGTTTGGCACTGTTTCGACACTGTTTGGCACTGTTTCGACACTGTTTGGCACTGTTTTGCACTGTTTGGCACTGTTTTTATGTAGGATAACTTTCCATTTAAGGAAATGGGAACTTTTTGTTGGGACTGCCAAAAAAGGAAATTGGGAACTTCTCCCTGGGACGGAAGTAGTATCTTTTTTCTTATTTTTAACTTAAAAAATACATATTTTTTGTACTTATTTTAAAATATGCCTTTTCTTAGAGTATCACATTGCTGGGAAATGAGTTAACAAGAAATAACCAACGTGACAAGCTAAGCGAAACTACAATATAATGTACATAACAAATCATTGTAAATACTCTTACTAGCTACCTTCGAAGCCGAATACCGTACCAATCCAAACATAAATTTAGTTTAAGATCTTAAATTTGCTTTAGGGTCTTATTAATTACTAACAAACAGTTCTAAGAACTATGTTTAAGCGTTATATTAACTAGTTATGTATTGGCTTAAAACCTCAACTATGCAATGCTCCAGTAGTATTGGACAAATGTATGGAGTATTATCTGATCTATCTACTGCCATAGTATAGAATCCTGCATGTTACAAATCTAAACCTGGGACTGCACTGATTGTGGTACCAAACAACAAACAAACCTTAATGGAACGAAAGGAAACCCAACGCCGAATATTAGGCAAATGTTTGCCACCACGGCACCACCTATGTGTGTGACCTATGTGTAGTTTATGAAAATAGCCAATCAATAATGTTTTAGACAAACTTGTGATAAGACTGGGCAGGCCACACTGACCACATAAGCAAGACAAAAGTATGAAAAATATTGTGAGGACCCTATGTGCAATACCTTAATTAGGAAAAAGCCATTTGGGTGCATTTACTTCAAAGTTCAAACAGTGTACACACGGACTGACAGAGGGAAACCCCAAATGGATATACTCTCTATTTTCTGGGTTTATTAATTTAAGGGAGAGGTCTCGAGCTCAATCCAAGTAAAGAGCCCGTTTGATAATCCTGTTTTTTGTCTTATCGGACTTATTAGTCAAACACTATACCAAATACGTAACTTTTGATTTCATGCGCTGAATAATAAGAAAAAGTAAGGTTGAAGTTACGGTTTTGGCTGAAAATACTGCAGATGATCATTTTAGCTAATTTTCATGTGATTTTTTTATTTTTTTAATAAAATGTATTTTAAATATTATTTTTTAATAAATCAGCAGAATCAGCCAATCTAGTCACTTCAACCAGAACTTCATAAATTTCAGTAGAATTAATTGATTTAATTGATTTCGGTATTGCCAAACAGGCTCAAAATTAGACTTGGAATTGAAACTCACTCTATTTTTATTAAACTGATCAAAGCTCAATTCAATCTTTCTAGATAAATATATGTCCGCAGTCCATTCCGGGATCCTCAGAAATGGAGTGTCATTTTTTTCTATTTTCTCAACATATGGTCCATTAACTTCCATTATCAACTATCAAAAATACAAGAATAACTACATCCATATAAAGTTACCCCATATATTAGTATTCAATATTCACAAAATCAAGTAATATCATTTGAATGTTTGATTTTATATTTCATCGGTGGAAAGTCCTAGTAGCTTCTCTATCAGAGTTAATTTCTCTTACAAGATTTCTTGGTGGAACGGTGGAAGTACTTGATTCATCTAGGTTTGTTTTTCTATTGATTTTGATTGCATTTTTTTATGGTTTTTCATAAACAATGAATATAGCTTTCTTTATAGCCATTGTATTCCTTGATTTTGGTTGTGTTGCTCCTCTCAACTCTCAAGCAATCATTCGGCCTTGACATCATTGTTCTTCAAGTTTGTCACGAGTCACGACACCTCATCAACTTTAGTTTCCTTAGTGGAGGAGCTGGGCGGGGGCATGGAGGGGCAAGCGCCCCCGCTTCGCGCCAAAAAAATTAGTACTACTACTTATAATATATTTAATGTTCTCCTTCTTTTTAAAAAAATAAATACTTATTAAAGACCATTTTAGATTAAGTATTAAAATAAAAAGCAAAATCTTTCACGAAACGTGTCTCTAGGAATACAAGTATGTACTGACTGCAGCGTACGTCACTCATTTGAATGCAAGTGTGGATTATTTTAGATCTTTAATGCCACACGCGTTGACTTTTTGTGATGATAGTGCAAAAGAGTATTGGAATTAACAAATATGTTGTCACATTTCTTGAAACAAAATGATCAAAACATTCTTGAGACTGTGTTAGATTCCTTCCTTAATGGAAAAATTCATGAGCATTTTAGAATTTGCAAAGATGTCTAGGATTTTGTATATGCGTGCATAGAAATATTGAATGTTCTAGAATAATATTGGTAAGTTTTCTATAAAAGTGTGGAACTCACTAAAATCGTGTGGAAGAGTGTGAAAGCCTCTAAAACATTTTGAAGAATTGTTGAGTTCTCTAGATCCTTCCATTCCTTCCATTATAGTAGAGAAGCTTGTGGATACTTGTTGGAAGAATGTAAATGTCTAATGGTTTATAAAAAGTTCTAAAGAAGCTTTGATGAGATTAGTATAGATAGGGGTAATACTGCTCATTTCTATCAGAACCTTTTGAGTTTTGAGTGTTTAGATGAGTGTACACTGTACAGGAGTCTTATGAGCTCGTTTTCCTATGCAAAATTTTGAACATATTAAAACTCGTATGATTGATTTATCCAGATTATAGATATGAGTCAAGTAGAATGTAATGACTAATTTGTGCTAATGCATTCCTTTTTTTTATTGTTTTTATTATATTTTGAGAAAATACACCATAAATCTTAGTCTTCGGTACGCCCCCCCTTTGAAAAATCTCTAGCTCCGCCACTAAGTGGCCTTGAAATCTTGAATGTTCTCGTACTTTAACCACTATGCAATTTCTACCTAAAATCCAACACTGCCATTTCATAAGAATAATTACTTTGTACTTTACAAGTGCAAAGGTAATCAAAGATTTTTTGAAATTGAATAGTGTCTATTCAATTTTGTGTCTTACTTTTCTTTTGTGAATTGTCTCAAAATAAGTGTCTTGTTTTCTTTTTGAAAAGAAATGTTATCAACAAAATTTCATTTACTATACTCGAACATCAGCCACAATTTTTACTTTTTCAATCAATTTATTAATAATTGTACCAAATCAAAACGAGACACATAATATGGGGCGGAGGTGGTATTTATCATTAAAGAGTAGAAAAGACACGCACTCTACACTGCAAGACATGAAAACTACTACTAGGGGTACGTTTTTACAATAGCTCTATTTACTAGTTTTACAAAGAGGGTTCAAAAATAAGGTAAAGCCAACATACACTAATTTCAACAAACAATATGTTAAATAAATGTGTCTGAGCTTAAACTCGCCTAATCACTTGTACACTCTTTACTTGACTGATCAAACCATGGCCATAAACTCTCTAACACCGAGCTGCTTTGAGGAAGTTGTCAAAGGGACTAGCAGGCGGTAGCCTAAGAGCTAACCACGGCTCTTTTGGTGCCACTGAATCCTCTGCAACTGTGCCTTCATCAATTGCCTGTACAACGGTTGCCTTAAAAGCCGAATGAATAATTACTATGTAACAATGAAAAGCCAATCAATTTCGAATAACCTATTTTATGGAAACGTGCAGACAAACAAATTCATTGAACTAAACTATGGAGATAAGCAACAGTTCAGTTTCTCTATTGCAAGGAAAAACTTGGCTTGAGGCAATGGCGATCTCACATAACTTGCTCCCATTTGACCGACCCATCACAAGTTTCAACTTAATATATACAATACTTAGGGATTAATAACCTTGGACTACCAATTTAATATTCTAGTTACAATTTATGGGCTAAACTAGCCTCTTTCCCACATATTTTCTTTAACACTCTTTGTTAGTTTATTGAATTTGGATTAGTGTGTTTAATGCTCCCTCTTCTAGATGCTCTACTTTCCTTTGGTGGTAAATATGAGCTTATCAACAACATTACCACAGTGTCACAAAGACTCCGACCTACGGTGGAGTAAGGGGGGTCGGATGTATGCAATCGTACGGCCCGTACCCATATACTAAAGCACAGAGAGACTTTCCATTTGACATATGATGAAAATCACGTCGAAAAATGCATGGATAGTTTAGTGAGCCATTTTGCCTTATTGCGTCGTATTCCCAAGCCAAAAAATAGTGAGTCTTTGGCTCCATGAAATGCTGGAACTAAATATGAGCTGATCAAATGACAAAAATGTCCAGCATTAATCTTATTTCCCCTACTTCTCTTACTTTGTACTAGTATTATCTATATATATCACTGTTCACATTTTATACAAAATAAAATATTACAGGTATATGAAGTCATTAACTTCAGTAGTGCCTCGCTACGAGTAAAGATATGGCCCTATTTCAGTAGTGTTTCGTTTGGTTTGATTATAAATGTTGATACAACAACACTACCCCAGTGCCGCGAACGCTCCCACCTACAGTGGGGTGGGGGTCGGGTATATGCAGGTTTACCCCTATACTAAAGCACAGAAACACTATCTCCGGATGACCGATGATGAAAATAGCATCAAAAATTGCATGAACTGACTGTTTCTTGATAACAAAGAAGCACAAAGTGAGTCATTTTTCTTTATTCCATCATATTCCCAAGCCAAAAAAATAATGAGTCTTTAGCTCCATTGGAAAGGATAGAAAATGATCATAACTGTCGATGTTGGAAAAATATAAATGTCATAGTTTCGGAAATATTAGGGACTACTTACTAACTAAAGCTAGCCCTTAAATTAAGAAAGAGTGGAACTATGTGGTTGACTCTAATAAAATATGAGAAACATTACTGAGATGCACCTAAACGAAAATAATGGACAAGCATAACTCTTAAATTATGAGAGAAAAAATTCTATTATGTAGAATCATGTTTCCATAAAAGACCAGGGGAATTAATGTTGTGTAAATATCCTGTAAGATAATGAGTAAGCTAACCTTTCTGGCAGTTATTTGCCTATTTCTAGGAAGGACTGGAAGCAATATATCTGAAGCTTTAATGTGAAGGTTTTCATGAGCCAACCAATTAGAGAGTTTCTTTCTTGTGTCTGTGCCTAGGCTTTCACACTGGCTAGCCATGGCACCATACGGAAGCGGTGAAGTGGAAACAAATGTTCCAGCTACTTGACCAGCTACCTCAAGAGCCTGGAAAAAATAAACATAACCATTAAGAGATTTCTTATGGATCCATTAAATGCATGCATGCACTACTGAAAAAATGCTCATTTTCCCAAAAAAATGTACTAACACAATAAAAGCTCTACATTGTGTTTGTATATCTACAATGACGAGTTATTTTACTTCAAAAAAAGAAAAACATTAAAATGTGTTTTTTACAATGTCATCATTTTTTAAAAGCTGAGATTAACTACTCCCCCATACCATTTTGGTTGCCTTACTTTCCTTTATGGGTTGTCCCAAAATAGATGTCATGTTTCCCTTTATGGTAAGAAATTTGTGATTCATATCGTTTCACTTCATTCTACTCAAATCTCAACCATAACTTTTACTTTTCAACCACTTTATTAATAGTCGTGCCAAATTAAAATGAGACAACCATTATGGGACGGAGGTAGTATAACATTGCCCAATTTTTCTTTTGTTTTTAGTTCGCTGAGTTAATTTCTTGAAACTATATGGTTGTCAATGAGACACCACAGCTAAAATTTTGAGATAGATTAAGGTAACAAGACAGAGATTACTCTGTGGACAAAATATGCACATGCTTAATAAACAGAAAATATGTGAGTGAACAAACTGATTCCATAAGCTGCCCAATATTGACAACACGAGATGAGGACGGTGAGGGAGATGTTGACATGAAACGGGTAAAGTCAGCAACTGATGATTCACTAATTTTAACATCCTCTGCAGGTGAGTTCATTGGGAAATCCTGCAGCAACAATAGAGATTCAATTGCCTTAAACGATTGAGATTCAATTGCCTCAAGTACTCATGACATTGACCAAGTAGCCATCAACAAGAGACACTAATAAAGTAGAGTCAATTCCCTAAATAGGACTAAAAAGTGGCAAAATTGCACAAATAAGACTACATTTTTTAAATTCCCTTAATAGGACTATTTATGTGTGTTTGGCCAAATATACCCTTGTAACTTGTGAAATGTTTTAATTAATAATAAAATCATACAAAAATAATAAAAATCGAAAAAAATACTAAAAATCGTAAAAAGATAATAGAAAATTAATAAAAATATTTTTTAAAAAAATTAAAAAAAAAATATTTTTAAAAAAAAAATAAAAAATAAAAAAAAATCGTAAAATTAAAAAAAAAAAAACATTACCACCCCTGCCACCCCCAGCACCACCAGCTCCCATCACCGGAGAAAAATATGCCAACATTTTAAATAATGCCATAATGATGGCATATTCAATGAAAATGTTGGCATATTGAAGAGTAATTATGCCATCTTTTTGGCATTTTCAGAAAAAGATGGCATTTTTTTACCAAAAGTGGAAGAAATTTCACCAATCGGAGGTGGTGGTGCTGGGAGGCGGCGGATGGCAGTGGGAAATGTATCCATAATTTTTTTCATTTTTTTATGGGTTTTTACTATTTTTTATTATTTTTAAAAAAAAATTAAAAAATAAAAATTAAATTTTTTATTTTATAAATGTTTTATAAATTTTTTATAATTTTTTTACGTTTTTTAAATATTTTTACGTTTTTTTATGATTTTATTATGAATTAAAGCATTTCATTATGAATTAATACTCTTAGGGGTATTTAGGGTAGAAAATCTATGTTTAGTCCTATTTAGGGAATTTAAAAAGTAGTAGTCCTATTTGTGCTTTTTAGGAACTTATTAGTCCTATTTAGGACAATTTCCGAATAAAGTACACAGAGAACTAAGATTATATAAGATTATTCAAAAGCATACCCCATCATCAAATGAAGGGGACTCTCTGCAATGTGCAAGAGCTTGTGTATGATCCACGTCAACCATTGATTGTAGTCCAAATAGGAAAGAATCATCGGGAGTAAATCCTTCTGACATCTGCTTAACTAGATCCTCCACCTCGAACTTCAATGCAAAGGCAAGAAATATTAACTAACCCCTTATAATGGAGATATGAGGTGAGTGCTATCAACAATAATCTACCTCGCCAACCTCGGTAATTCTAGACAATCTTTCAGCTGATGTACTCTGTATAATTTCCAAGGATGCAATGGTTTTGGATCGTACTTCAGAGAGGTACTCAGAAGCTGCTTGATTATCAGCAGTAGAACCATATTCTCTCGGGTCTGCACGAGGCTTCATGTATACTTGATAGTCATCACCAATACCCAAAAAGGGATCAACCTAATGTTGGTGTCACATGTAAAACAAGCATGGATGGTACTAAGAGGATGATTAAAATGAAATTGACATGGTAGTGAAGAAAATCAGATACAAAAACATACATCAGAGTCCTTCAATGGTTTAACTAAGCTATTCAGGTCAGAAACTTGATACGTCTTTGCCACAAATGCCAACATTGAAATTGATGATAAAAGAAGCGATCTCTGGTATGCTGGGGGCAAGGTTGCTGCAAAAAGATAACCATATTTATTGCACATCATCATACGCTACAATATCATCAGGAATCAATTGGAAATTCATACTCTAGCATACCGTTAGGGTCTAATGAAATCTTCACCAGAGATAAGGGAAGCTGGAAAAAGCGGACCACAAGATGATTTTCGATATTCTGCAGCGAGAATGGGAAAAAATAGGAGATTTTGTCAATATATCATGTAACAGATGCTTAATGGAATATTGCTCAGAGTGATAAGGTGTTGATCCTCTCATTGGTTATTGCCTGATTTGGGAATTTTAAGGATTTCTTCCATTTTCCTTAATTTATGTGATTTGGAAATTTTAAGGATTTTTTCCATTTTCCTTTAATCGTCACAATCCCAATTTTAAGGATTTCTTCCATATGGTTGATAGAAACAATAGCCATAACAACTATCAAATTCCACCATACAACTCTCATTCTACCCGGAAATGACTTAACATCAAAAACAACTTTACAAAGTAAACTTTAAAAAAATTAGTATCTAAATCCTTACCCTAAGCCGTAAGGAAATGAGGGTGAGGCAGAAAGATTGAGTAATGGCTTCAACATTAGCAGGCAGATTGTCTGGCATATTAGCTTGAACCCAAAAGGAAGATAGCATCTGGGTTATTTGGTCCTCATTAAGCTTTAAAATTGATTGTTCCTGTGCCAAAAAAGACAATAAACCACATAAATGTCTTCCTATAAAAATGAGGAGATAAAGTTTATTATTTTATACAGATGAAGATGGGTCCAATGGCAGCAGAATAATCATCCTTACTGTTTCGGTTAAGCTAGCTGATGCAACTCTCCGGTCAATGATTGTATTTAATTTTTGAATATTGGGAGAATTCACGTGTGCCCATGCCTGCTTCCTGTCTTCCTCAACAGTGCCCTTCTCTTTAAATCCATCTTGAGTGCTACAGTCACCCCTCAAACCAGAGGAATCTTTTTCTCTACGTAGCTTGTCAAGCAGAGCTGTAATTGAGGAGAACGTAGAAGTGCCATTTGAATTCCATCGCCTTGTATGACTAGGAGCAGTACGTCTCATATAGTTAGAGGATGTTACAAGTAAAACAGAAAAGATATGGTGCCCATCAATACGTATTCCAACATCGGGATGAAGCATGACTCTCAAAAGCTGAATAAACAGCTCATCAGGGAACACCTATATTTATAATATAACAAATGTCAAATAAATACAATTATTGGTTCGTTAAAAGAAAAATAAAGGGTGTTGAGTCAGGTTTAGTTCATAAACTACTCCATCTGCCCCGGGGAAAAAAACTTGTAACAAAAAAGTACTGTCGTATTAAATACCATAAGACTTTGAACAACTTAGAAGTGAATTGGTTGCACAAATTGATACAACAGTAAACAAATTTGATGAACTCTTATAGTCGTATAAAAATTACACATTAAGAATGAGTTGAAATAGCAATTAACCATATTACACTTTTTTTCTTATAAAATTTAGTAAATTTTTGTGGTATTTCTTCCTAGCAACATTGTGACCATTCAAAACGCAATACATTGCTAGAAGCCTAGAACCATATTGCATTTTATGTTTAATTATGTACTCATATGTAATGATTTCTAAACTTAAATATGTAGAGTGTAATATTGGGTTAGTAAACAAGTAAAAAAAGACATAACCCCAGTGCCGCAAAGGCTATATACTCTGGGGTAAGGGGAGGTCGGATGTACGCAACCTTACCCCTGTACAAAAGCGCAGAGAGACTGTTTCCAAATGACCCATGAGGCCATGATGAAAATCACGTCGAAAATTGCATAGACTGACACGCTTCTTCATAGCACAGAAGCGCAGACAGCTTAGTGAGTCATTTTGCTTTATTCCATCACATTCTCATGCCAAAAAATAGTGAATCTTTGGCTCCAATGGAAATGATGGAAAAATGGGTTACTAAACAAATCATACGGAAAAAAAATATGTGCATAAATATAAATGAAAAAACATGTGTACAAATATTAAAAACTATTTAAAATTGTATTCTTATATTTTTTATATTTACGCATTTCCCCCATGTTTCGTATCCTATATTTTTTAGACTTATGCTTCTCGCGATTCCTGTTTCCGTGTTACTTAGGGGATATTTGCTTTGGGCACTATTTCAATTCAGACAAGCGAGATGCAGTTCACTTTACCAGATTATCCCTCAAGTAGGACGGTGTTACTAGTGTCTTTTTTTATTCTGTCTGGTGTACCCATATGGATACTCAAGTATGTGCTCCATAGTAAGACAATATCAAGTAAAAAAGCATTAGCTGCAAGCCAGAAGACAAACTGCGACCAAGTGCCTAGCAAGAGGTTAGGATAAAGAATAATTTACTTTTTCCATTAAGATGTCCAATTGTACTAAAGCGACAGCCTGGATTAAGATGTATTTGTGGAAGGGCCTGTTTACCTTGTGTGCTGATTTTCCATCAATGTAAGGTTATTTTTGGTTGCCTTATCAATAAGTAATCTCATTTGTTAAGACACGTCTATTCCCTCTCGATTTCTTAGGAACAAATGGTTTACTAGACATCTAATCGGAAGAAGTATATCAGGGACTCGGTGTTGAATGTCAAAGTGCCTAAATCAATGTCTGGTTGGGCGAATTAGTCATGTTTAAAATTAGTCAAAATAAATATGACTTGATGGCTGATCAATTAAGTCATCATCCCGGTTAAATCCATTGTGCCAATACTCACAGTGTAAGCAGCCATAAGCGGGGGTAAGCAGGGCCTATGGGGGAAAAAACATAGGCAGCCAAGGACATCCTAGTGCCTAGACTGGGTTTAATCTAGGAAAGGTTTTTTATGATGATGCTTCACCGAAGAATGAGCCAGTGAGGATATACTCGGACAAATGAACCTGAGGCCAAAAGTCTGAACAACTACAATGAAGCAAGCATTGAGATAAAGAGCATAAGTGCTAAACAAATCTTAGAGCTTTCAACCTGCTGAAAATTCAAAGACAAGGATGCTATTGAGATTGTGTGTGCAAGGATGATCAAAGACCCCATTGTTGCTCTGGAAACTATTTTATGAGGTGAAAGCTTCTCCAATGTCATCGCCATCATATCTAACAGTGGTCGTGGATCAGAAATCTATCCAAAAAATGATTATTCAGATTTAAGATAAAATCCCAGAGCGGAAAGACTTCATTATTGCGAAAGTAATTACCCCTTTGGCAGTTTCAAGTAAGCATTCTTGAATGGACATCTGAAGAGTAACGTTTAAGTCTAACTCCTCTTTGGACAAATCCACAGTTGCTTGGAGGCTTTTACGCAAATGCCGGCACAAGTCATTCACATATCCAATATCTGAAACCCCACCTCCCAAACGCATCTGATGAACTAATGCTGTGGCAGTTTGGATGGCGAATGACTTGGCTTGAGAATCATGTGCTACGTTTTTGTGGTCCAAATGTCGAACTACGCCTGTTAGAATCAGTTGGTGATTCCCTGATATAAGAAAAAAAACATTTCAAATTTCCTGCATCATAAGATCTTACTTCATTCCATCAAATTTCATCTTTCATAGCATAATCTGTCCAAATGTATTAAAAGAAATGAGACAGAAAGCAATAGTAGGCAGTAATGTAGAACCAATGAGGCACACAGGGACTACTTCTGATTCCACTCAAAAGTGTAGTAGTGAAAGGAAAAGGAATGTGTGAACTCTAACAAATGTTTTCTCTTGAGATAGAGAGAAAATAGGTAATTTTTCAGGAAATTTTCATATTTTAAAGCTAAATATCCAGAAATGTTACAAAAAATATGGATATTTACATTTTAGTTCCAAATCAGATATTATTACCACATGTAAAACTAAAACATATCAAGTTTGAATCTACATATTTGTATCTTTGTTTGGGTTTTTTGGAAGTGAATGGTCAGGTAGTCCAGGCCGATTAGCGGATATAGTATTCAATAGTGCCAGAAACAGCGGGCAGTAAGGACAGAGGCGGTGGGAGTTAGATAGTGGGGAAGATGTGTGGTCGAGATGCTAAGCTTGTCAAGGTGGGGGTATTTTGGGCTGTTAATACGGTTTTAAGACATACAGTAATTCCTTGTGGCATTGTCATGGATTGAGAAACTACATAATGTTTTTATCACATACTCGGCATAAAAATAAATTGACATGAAAGAGGAAGTGGTCCAGCCCAGCTGGTCGCCGACTCACTCTCCCTTACGGAAGGTCTCGGGTTCGAAACTCAATGGAGTGAGTCTCAGCCCTTATTACTCCAGGCCCCCCCAGTCCTCCTCCCTCAGACGCCCCCTGGAGTAAAAAAACTGACATGAAAATTACCTGAGTTTTCTAATAAGTATGAAATATCAGACAGAACTATAAATGCCAATCCCGTCTGGGGAACCCATTGTTTCTTGCTATCGAAGTGGATGAAAATAGGATCTAAAACTCTTCGCATTGTCGTACTCTCCTTTGCTAGATCAGCCATCCTCTGGATACATATTCGAGCCCATACTTTTGGCATCTCAATCTCTTCTCTGAAGACAAAATTTATGAAAGAAAAATAATTAATAGGAAAAAGAATAGAAAAAACTCCAAACAAAAATTATTACTCTGTATTATTTAAAAAGAAAAGGGTGACAATCTGCTTCATTAGCCATGAGCAGATTTTCAAAACACCGCTGAAAAAGCTAATCCCCTTTATATTGAGAGATCAACCTAGTTAATAGAGCGAGATCCTTCTTATCAGGACGCTTCCTAACAAGATGGCTAGGTCTATTTTCATTCCCAAGATCTCTTCCTTCAGATCTAATAACCTCATCCACCCAATTATGGTGTGCTTCCCCTCTTTCATCATCTTCATTAGGGGTATCTGGCTCATAGTTATCCAAAGTAACATGTACAATCTGCAATAGTTCACAGAAATGTTTCAAGGAAAAATGCTTCCATGACAATTCCAAAGATTAAAGAATATTTTCACAAAGTTAAAGAATATTTTCACAATGTTAATAACTAAATTTATTGGTTATACATCCTGGGCCAATGACCTGCAGAAAGAGGTGCAGTGTGGGGGGACAGAAGAACTCATACCATCTTAAATCATTAATAGACAAGTATGATATCTGATATTACCTCTGTCCCATTAGAAGGTTCCCGTCCACTATTCACATGGTCAACTTGAATCATTTTTAATCTTTTACTTTATATATCAAATTTTTATCAAATTTACATTTTTTATCGAGCTTTGTAGCGGTTTTAATGTAGTTTCTGAATATGTAAATTTTATTTACTAAAAATAATCAGAGTGTGAACAGGGATTAAGTTGTTTTATCGTCAGTCAAGCATCCTAAACCGTCAACGGGAACCTTCTAGCGGGGCGGAGGGAGTATTACATAAACTTTGCTAGTTAAATTAATTTAATGATTTTTATACATGTGCATGCATACCTCATCAAAATCAGTAAAAATGTGAGAGAACTCAGCCATGAACCATACCTGCTTGGAGAAATCATAGAGTTAGTTGTTGAACTAGAGAAAACAAAAAAGTAGACTAATATGTGAATCAAGTCAATCAACTAATAGAATGGATAAGGAAACAAATAAGATGAATGAATCAGAGATAAGCAATGTAAACTCTAAAGTTGAATTCTACAACCATGGCTGAAAGGCAACGCAAACTGGATGCCCTCAAGCAGCGCTTTTGATTATCTTCACCTGTCTCCCTAGCTAGTGAACATACATTTTGGACCAAGTTCTCTATATTATATGTGTATGTTCCATCCACCTGTTCTTCATTGAAAATAAAATAAATACAGTCAAAGCCAAACAAAAGTAATTCTTGACATATGTGATAAGTGAAGGAGGGGGAAACAACAGTCAGCACATCTATCAAAACAATTCACTGTTTGAAGCAAATGATACTATTTGCTGCAAAGTGATCAATAAAAAATTGGGGGGCAAATATCTCTTTCAAGTTGGTAACCAGATGATGGCTTGCCAAGTGTTCCCATAACTTTATTCATTTCTTCATCCATAAACAATAACAAATCGAAGAAATACAATTAGAGCACCTTATCAGGACCAACATATGTCATGTGGTGAATTATATCACGTGACTAGCTTTATTGCATTTCTCCTAGAAACATATCAGCTATAAATCCAACCAGTAGTTTCAAAATAGTTCTTTCCTTGCATTATAAAACCATTTTATGCTTGTTACAGGCTTTAGGTATTACGGTAAACAGAAATTTCCTATAGTGAATTTCCATCTAAAATGCATACATCCTTAATTCCTTGCTAACACAACCTTCAAGCCAAAGATGAACTGAATGCACATGTAGATCACCTGACTGTAGATAAACTTAGTAAAGGTCAGACAACCGATGATCTTGATGTCATCTGTCTTTGCAGAATCCAGCATTTCAACCACAACATTCAACAGATTGTTCGCAAAACAAGCCCTGTAATTGAGATTTAGAATCATTTATTTTTAGGAATAGAATATCTACTTGCACAGTATCTTACTTGATCAATTCAAGAATATTAGAGTGCAAGTTTCGTAATGTGCCTGTATGATCATAACTAATGATAAGTATCAGGTATTTGGAATGGAATTCTTATAATACAGGTATAAGGATTATAGAAGAAGAATATAAATCATTGAATATCCAGATGCTAGAAAAAACCTAATAAAGAATGTCACATTTATATTTGCCTTGCCTTTTTGTTGATATCTAATTACAAAAGGGAAAGCTGATAAATTTCTAAAGCATTACATTTGTTCTTGACACATGCGAAGCAACTCATTGTAAACATCTGCAATAACATTGACTGATTTGGTGTGCCCACTGCGCAGTTCTTTGAAGCATCTTTCTTCAAGACACTGTGCAATCTGTTAAGTGTTTAAAAACGGAGAGTATGAATAGAAAAGATAAACATTGTGCATATTTACTGTAAGCCATCGTTTCCTCAAATAAAGAAAGTTGCAATGAAAAATCTACAGTAATGTCAATACCTTTGGTATGCGGAAGGGGTTTTTTGCAGCATATTCACATAGTTTCACAATTTTCCTTCCATTTGAAGAGCCATCCTGCATTCAATTAGTAACACTAAATGAATAGATATCAGGTGGGTTGGAAATCATTGAAGCAACTGAGATTCTGTAGCACTCAACAAAATGAGAGTGAAAAAAAATTATAGGCATAGACACGCACACAAACATTTAAGAAATTAACCACTGTTTAACAAATTACTTCAGTTTCAATTGGATGATACAGAGTAACTATATCAATTTTCAAAATTCCGATGGATTATTACATTGAGGGGGGAGCTGATACTAGTAATAATCCTGTGACTTGTGATTATATATTTGACGACCAACCAACCATCATAACTCATAAACTTATTATACTAATCAACAAGTATGTTTACTATGTTGCCTAATCACCACCTGCAATGCATCAAACATACTGCTTAATGTTTACAAATGATCTGGAGAATCAAACTCAGGGCATTAGAACATAAAAAATTAAATAAGAACAATAACATTAACATAGTGCACACTCACTGCAGATTTGGGGAAAATGTCAGCCAGCAACTTCTTGTATCGCTTAACAGGTTGTCGAGATCGAGACCTCAAAGCAGGACAGCATATGCACATACTCTCACATGCAGGGAATAACTTGCGTGAAAGTAAGCCCATTTTCCTATTAGTTTATGGTAACCAAACAAACAAATGTGAGCACAATCGGTTCCACAGATCAAGATACTATGAAGGATAAAAAATTAAAAGTGTCCACAATAATATTAAAACGCAGGAACCTAAAATGTATCTCAAAAACAGCACCAGAATAAACATCTTCTGAGCAAAATATCAATCCATACACAACTGGAAACGAAACATTTTTTCATGTCATACTTTCAGAAAAGGACATCAGGGGAGGAATGTGTAATCAAGTATTGCCAGCAAATCTATGTGTTGGTTTTTCTACCTCAACTATAATGGTGTTCTATATGGCGTCGTAGAAAATACTCTTGCTTCTTTTGACTTGGCATACTTGCGAGTGTGGTCGAAAAAATGAAAAGAAAAATGTGTGGTTGAGGTTTACATAGATATAAGTAAAACATTATTTTACCACATAGTTGATACTTCTTTTGTAAAGAGGAAAGAGGAGAATAGTTCTTGGACAAGCCAACAAGTAAACAAGAACACTTCAGGAGGGAGGGAGTACCGTCTAGTCAAAATCATGAATCAATGCAGTGTTTGACAGACAGTTACTTACAATCTGATGGCCACTTCATAAATGCGTGATCAATATCCTATGTAAGCTCACCTTGTTAAGTAAACCTTTATGGTTTATAGTATTGTTCTCTCTGTTATAGCATATACTAAGGTAAGGGTTCTAAACTAAATCAAAGTATTTTTATGAGTTCTACAAGAAGAATAGATGGTACAGTAGCACCGCATTCTCGTGGCATCAACATTTCAACATTCCTAGCTCGTAAACTTTCAAACAAACGTGAAATCTTGAACTCTCACGTTCTAAATTACAGCAAATCTGACTAACAGATTAACTCAAACAAACGTCCTCAAACACATTACAAGGGGGAGTAGACGCTAGGGTAAGAAAGGAACAGTAAGAAATGCGCCCAATTTTGTATGACAGAGAAGGACATTTCATTATGCAAAAGAAATACCTTTGAGGGGTAGATCTGAGGAGTTAAAACTCCTCCCACAGAAACGGATATCTTCTCCGGCAAAGCTTGGAGCTTTTTGAGAAATCAGAGAGAAAACAAGAGCAGTAATGAGAGGGGTTGAGAAATTTGAACAGATAGTACATGGAGGAAAGAGGAGATCACGTGATTGAAGAAGTAGCTTGCTCTTGTCGTTGTCTGTCCGAATTTCAATATGTCATCTCTTTGTTTCCTCTGTTTATCCAAGTTACGGAGTACTTTTTCACACCGTTTATCCAAGTTATTAAAAGTACTCCTAATTAAATTAGAGATTAGGGCGGTTAATGAACCCAGCTTTGATCATACCTTAGATAGGAGTAAAACAATAGAGGTTCCAATTTAGGAGTTTTTAAGTTGACTATCGATAGTCTAAATTGATCGATTCCAGATTTACCCTTCTCATTTAATAATTACTCCATATCTTTGTTAGAAGAAAAATGTTTTAATGTCTGTGACAGACAATTTGTCTGTGAAGGACAGGCATGTGTATACCAAACGTGTACACAAAACGTGTACCTCTAGCAAGACCCTTCTTGGAAAACTGTCACGCACTACGATCAAATTTATCCTTTCTTATCTATTCCTTCCACCACTATCTACCATATCTCTTCTTTCTCTCTGCAAATGTATGAAGCTTTTTTTTTTCTTTCTCTCTGCACATGTACGAAGCTTTTTATTTCCCATTACTTCCCATGGATTTCAAAACACATGCAATACTCTCATCTCGATCTGGATTCTGGCGAAACTCTTGTCTCTTGATTTCCTCAGTTAATTGGCGATTTATCTTCTGCACCGTGAGTTGTTTTCACTTTTTGAGTTGTTGTCGCAATTGAATCATCATAGAGGGGTCCCATAAAGAGGTTGAATCAATAAGGTCGTTGTTCCCGTTCCCTCCGGCCATGTGTCGTAACTCCGGCGATATACCGGTCTTCTCTGGCAAGTATACTCCGGAGCTATTGAATCGAGCAAGGTTAGGGGAAAGGGCAGAGTATGATAAATGGCTTTTCTTGCTTGAAGAGGATTTGTACCAGGATGTAGAATATAGTTGAGGTGCCGGATTCTAGGAGATACAGACCTACTTAGTTTGAGAGTGGCTAATATGTGTTTGTGGTTATGTTTTCATTTATGCTCTTCTGTGTTATCCCACAGGTCTAGCTGAACACGTGATAAAAGTGCATGACATGCAACAACTTCAACTACATTAGAATTACTCTTTGTAATAAGATTTTGATAATATGTACTCCAAAGGTTACTAATAATGTACACCATATGTCCTCCAGAGGGACTTATTGTTGGGGTCGTCTAACAATGTTTATTCGACAACTATGTACTCTAGGCTTTTTAACAGATACCTGAAAAGGGTTAAAATGGAGTTCATAGTGATGTAAAAATATGCAGTGCTAATAGTTCATCTCATAGTATTGCTTTATCATTGGTTCTAGGCTGTTTAGTTACACTAATAAAGTGGTCATAACACTAATCAACCATATCACTCTTTCAAATATCAAAAGAAATCTATTTTGTTATACTCTATCATGTGCTTTTGGATGTACTAGCACATTCTAATCACATTTTAAAAAGTAAAAACTATAGGTGAAACATCTAATTTCGAATTGACCTTTCTAAATAAAAGAAATTTTAATGAACTTTGTGTACAGAGATTCTTCTAACTTGCTTGAGAACTTTTCTAGGCAAAGAATTTGAAAGGCTGCTGACTTTGATGGGAGGATTGAGTCGAGTAGATCTAAGATTCTAAAACATGATGGTCGTTTTCTCTTCATGACAGGCATAGTTACTCTTATTAAAAATATTTTCGAGGTGAACCATTGATTTGAATTTTTGGTGAATGTGGGCCATATTTTAGTCCTTTAAGACTAGACGTATGTATGCAATTCACTTGATAAATCAAATCCGGATTTTATCCTCTTAAAAATAGAATCCTAACAACACACATAGTGCATAGAACACAATTTGACGGATTTCAGTAGCATGCACTTTAGCCTATTCTAGAATGCATTATGCATACAATCTATTTCATTAGCTATAATGTTCTACTTAACAACTTCGTGTGCAATTGTGCAAATTCATAGATCTCACTAATACCATACCAATCAACAAAGTAAACCAAGATTAACCCTATACGACTTGCATTGGGCATTTACTTATCGCGCAACGCGCGTTGGGAAACTAGTACCTTAGATAGGAGTAAAACAATAAAGAGGTTCCAATTTAGGAGTTTTTAAGTTGACTATCGATAGTCTAAATAGATCGATTCCAGATTTACCCTTCTCATTTAATAATTACACCGTATCTTTCTTAGAAGAAAAATGTTTTAGGTACACGTTTGGTGTACACATGTCTGTCCTTCACAGACAAATTGTCTGTCACAGACAAGTCCTGTGACAACTCCATATCTTTAAGTTACTGCTCTATTGTCAATCTATATGAAATAAGATGTTATGTTTAAAGTTGATTCTTTTTCATATATCATTTTTTCTTCGTGTGATACTAATCCCAGGCTTTTGAGCATCTTTACAAGCCTTTGGAACCTATACACCGAGCTGGAGTTGCAAGGCATCCTCACGAGACACTGTTGATAATGTATTCAATATTATGAAGGAAATTAGATTGTGCATTTACCAATTTGAAAGGTCTTTAATTCATTTATGATTTTTGCTAATGCTTTAACTTGGGAAGCATTTAGTATATATGAAGTACAGTTTGTGGAACTTCACCGTAATCAAGGTAGATATAAAGTTTTATAGTCATGGGTCATTGAAACTCATGCCACACCAAGGAGAATATATAATAAAACTTTGGCATGCCCACGCCTCATGGGAGTCATGGGTATGCTCTAAAAACCCACAAATCTCTTCAAATCATAGAAAACCATTAATTACTTTATTTTTCCTTATTATACTGACATATAAAAAAACCATTTCCTCATTGCTTGCATTTTAGAACATTAAATTTCAAAACTTCTCACATAGAGAAACTGGTGGACCAAAATAAAGGAACTCGGTGTTTTGTTCAGAAATATTTCCCTAAAAGTCATTTTAGCAAAGTGAAATTTGTTTGAGTAATATTCGAATGAGTCGAAGTATGATCAATACATCCCATTTAAAAATTATTAAGCAACCAATTGATTTGTTTGTGACACGCTTTTAGTTACATTTCAGTGTGTTTTCTAAATTATAAAAATTATAAAAAGACAAACGAAAAACTGGTGAAAGATAAACAATTTGACAGTGAAGTTGGAATTTTATCTTACTACAGGTTCACGGACCTAATAAAACTGTCATTAGGTCTAACAAAGGACAAAAGTCTCAAGATGATTGGGGTAAGCTCAAAATCAAATGGCAGTAAGCATTTGATTGCTGGATCTTCAAAGCAAGGGAAACTATTTTGGGGAAATGCATTTGAAGGTTCGTTAGTTGTAAATTTGATGGCTTATCTTCATTTATTATAAAGTTTTCATATCTACCTTCTTATTGTGTTCATGTCATTGAGGCCATAACTGTCATACTGAAACTATTTTTGGCATAAGTTAATTTTTTGTTTGCTTGTTATGATGAAGACATGAAGTATAAGCAGAACCGATTTTTGTTTTAGTAACTTTTTCTCAAAAGTTGCTTGAAAATAATTAAGTTTGTTTGGACTCTACAAAAAAGGTTGTTGTTTGATTTATTACTTTAATATTTCTATACATGAACATGCTTCATTAGTTCAGGTTAGCAAATATACTTAAAAGAAGCTATTTACTTTCATAGGAATGAAGAGACTACATTTCCACCCGGTCAGTTTTTTCATTAAGTTTTTTATACCAAAAGTATTATAATAAAGAGTATAGTCCTGCTCCATAAATAGTGTTCTCTATAGAAATGATAATTTTAGGATGGAAAAATCTTATTTTGGTATAGATTAATTTTTATTTATTTTTGGAATAGAAAATGCTAAGAAGATATACGGAGTGACTTATAAGTAAGCTTCTCGTACATTATCTACTCACACAATTTTCCAGTTCTATGGGACACAAAAAGATAGATAGCCAGTGGTGCAGCAATGTGATAGACTGCCGAATTTGTCTATCACTGATTTTCTGTATCTTGTCATTAAGCCTGCGGAATTTGTCAATGGTTTAGTCAGTGTTTTTTTATTTATCTAAGTATGCCTCTATCAATTTTAACTCTATTAGTCCTGTTTTTTTTCTTAACCCATCAAAAAGTAATAGATTAATTATTCTGCAAATCCAAATCATTCCCAAAATGAAACCCTGTCAACAGTTAATGTTTTTGGAGTGCAATGGCATTGAAGTAGTTCTGATGGTCGCAGTTAATAAATGCAGCAAGCAAACCATATTTTATAGGGAGACTGTGACAATGAAATGCATCCACACTCTTTGTTATTGATGCCATAAAGGTGCTAAGTAAGTGAGTGAATCATATTAGATGGTTTTAAAAAGTGAGGGCTACATGATATGCTAGACAAAATAAAAAAACAGAACAAACAAATTTAAAAAGTTGAAATGTCAAGCTAACTAATGTAGGCTCTTTTGTGTCCACCAGAGAAGGGTAAAATGGCACTCAAGCGTGAGTGCGAGTTAACATGATATCTTAACTATCACATATCAATATACTTTAACATCCATCATGTTCCTCTGGTTCATTTCAACTTGATTTCTTTACATTTTTAAATATTCATTTCCCCCATTTCTCTCACATATATAAAAAAAATGAGGCATAGTTTGTTATGGTTTGCTGTTTGTATAGTTCAATATTGTTAGCTCGCTTTTATTTTCGGATCCTCTTGCTTCTTTTTCTTTCTATTCCAATTCTTGTCTCCCATAAAAACTTAATCCTACGCGCGGTCGTGTGTGGTATGTTCGCAAAGCCAGGGGTCTTATTTATGGCAGCAAAGAACTCATCCACCCTCATCTATTGATTTTCAGGTCGCTCATACACACATAGTTTCAACTAAAAAAATCGTCTTTATTAAATCATCTTTATCATCTTTATTTAGTTTCAATTGGGTCTGTCGTGTTCGATATTTAAGATAATATGGATCCGTAGCCAGTTTCAGAGTGTATATATTCTCTTACATCATTTATGTTTATTAGCATGTGATCACTTTTTATAGACTTATATTTTGACTCTATTTAACATTTTTTATTCTACTAATCCACTATTATCCATATTT